CACTGACAACTAACACGTGACCACCACTGCAACTTGCACCCCAAATACCAATACGTTCAGGATCAACTAAGTTTGTCAACGATTGTAAATATGTTATTGGCGAGCTCTAATCTTGAATTTGTTTTTTTTTGATCGATTTCTTGTCTTGGTTCACCTTCGCTATCGCCAAAATTCTGATTATCATAAAGAAGTACAACAAAATTGAATTTCGTAATATATTCTGCATATAAATCCAAAAAGAGTTCTTTCACACCTCCATAATAAGGTGACATCACAATTCTTGGATAAAGATTTTGATTTTCAACTTCTCGAATCGGTTCATACAGCCAACCTCGCAACAATACATCATTTTGAGTAGGAAATTCAATATCATGATGTTTAAATGAAACATTCATGTCTCTGAAGTTTTTAAAACAAAAAATAGTAGACATATGGATTAGAGAGCTTATGAATCGATATTGGGTAAGTTGTTGTACAATTTCAGCATTCAACATAATTTCACAGATCCTTGATTATGACTAACCAGAAAGGGGACGGTGTTAACAAACCAAAATTTGATTTAACTTCCGTTTTTAAGTTCTTGGTTTTGTGGTTATTGCAATTTTAATCTGGTCTGAAGCAGAAATGTTCGGGACACCGACCCTGATGCCTCGCCCTGCTCCCATGAAACTCGAAAAAAGCACCTATGCATCATTTAGTTTGTTTCAAGTGAAGTGATTAACATATTATTAAAAAAATCTGAAATAAAGTGTATACGTAACTCTTTTGAATTAACTGGCAAATAAGAGGCACTTAATCGCATTATAGTAATCAAACGATTCACTAAATGATAAATCATGTAATTTTATCATTGTTGTCGATAACGGAGAGGACAATTTCAAAAATGAATCCTACAAAGCAACTTTAGGTTTTTTAAAATATAAATCGATGATGGAAAGTTCAATATGAGAAACGATAAGGGCATAACAATCTATAGAAATGAAACAATGTCTTGTAATCTGTGAACAATTTAATAAATCTAGTGTATCGTTTTGTAATAATTAATTATGGAGCGGCATCACCATTTTTCCACTGTCTTAATACATATTCTTCTTATTGTATAATCAACCTATTCTATGAAAGAACAAGAGAGCTTCTATGTAAATGATTAGAAAAGATGGACCAATCAATATATGCTTCCAGCTGTATATTAGAATAATGACATACATCTATAATTTCTGATGGTCTCTCGTACGACTCTGAATAAGGTAAGGTATATTAATTGTTATGGAGACAAATCGATTTGATCTTCGTGGTGACAGAAACTGTTTTCACTCTATCGAAGAATAACGTGTTAGACGGAAAACTAGTTTTAGTCTTTCTGGCTCTGACATATTCTGAAGAAAAGATCATTTGAAATTCTGGGTGTATCTCGATTTTCGATCCCCTATTCAAGACGTATTTACCCAAAAAATAAAAGTACTTACAGGATAGACGATGGTATATTATACTTATAATTATATCAGTAATTTATCAACAATACTTAGTACATTTCTCATCCCAGTTAAAATCTATGCAATCATTTTAAGAAGTTGTTTGTCTTTGACGGTATATTTAATAACTAACTTAGATGAAACTGTTCCACACAATCAAATGTAAGAAAAAATTCAAGTAGCCTACTTTCTCGTGACCAAAAAAGAAAATAAAGAGACGATCTAACAAGAATACATAAAAAAATACACTGACACAACGCGACCTACAATAAGATAAAAAAACTGAAAAGAAGCTTGGATGACGGATAAATAAAAGATTATAAACGGCATGTTTATTATTATCTACAGACCAAAAGCGAAAAAGAGAAGAATCGGGGTGGGAGTTTGTATGCTGCAGTCTTAACCCATACTCACACCCTTTCATACTTTTCTCCCATTATTGAAATTCATTTTTCTATCAAACTTGATTAGACTTCAATCAAATATGAGCGTCATCTTTTGAGAAACATTTAGTTGGTTGGACATAGTGTTTTAATCAATCACTTTCTTTTCGTTCTGTGACCCATAGAATATTTTGAGATCTTAAACGGTTGGTATACTGTCAGAGGGGTTGAAAGACGTTTCTTTCTTCGAATTAATAGCAGATGCACTTCGCATCAGTGACATCTATATCTATTTGGGGCCTATGAAGAAATTCAAAAGATTTTCATGTAATATACTCGATAACTGAAAAAGGGACATTTTTATAACATAGTTATTAGGAGCAACTCTCATTTTTATTGATAAAGCATCAAGAAAGAGGTTGTTTCTGTAGAGATGAACATATTAATTAATGGCTATTCAAGAATAACCACCACTACTGTGGCGAAAATTGACGAGGGCGGTACAAGCAAAACGTTTTCGGTCTAAAAATCAAGTTTAGAAAAATCACCCCCTAATCGGAAATGTATCAGTCGATTGTAAATTAAATTTAGAATTTTTTGATACCTAAATTGTCATATAAGATTCATCGGCCCGAAACTATAAATCAAGTGTATAAATGACGTTACAGTCTGATCACAAAAGTATGAATCATCCAGGGTCTGACAGCTTACCAGGTCAAAGCACCAAGATTTTTTATACAAATCACGCATGAAGAATATATACATGAGTACTCTTTCTTTTGCTTTCCATTTATTTTTTAAGACAAATAGTATCTTTTGTGACACCAAGAAAAAAAACATCGTTTTTTTTTCCTTTCTTTTCTTCCGACGATAATCTGAAAAAGATTTCATAAATATAAAAACAACGTGGCAGATTTCTTTCCACGTAAACGTGTAAGCTGTTTAGGGATTCAGAAAAAAGGATATCGCTATGCATATCAAATGAGACTCTTACGACTTACTGTCAAGTAAAGAATTAGGGTACGCTTTCTCGAGAGGAGTTTTTCATGGAAATCAATCTGATTATATTCATAATTTCATCACCAAACTATAGATTTTGATAAAATCTCACTCTCTAACTTGGAATTTATATTTTTCGTTTACTCCATTTATATCAGACGTGTAGCTTTTAGAATTTCTCTCTCTATATATACTAATAACTTTCTTTTCATTGTATATGTTATTTAGGTAACTTTCTTATAAAATTCATTTCTTCTAAGATATTCTTCCAAGAATTTATATGCGAGCATTTTTTTTTAGTTCTAGGAATAAAAATTTTCGCTTTCACTATGGCTAGGCTCGGCAACCCTTTACCTACGTGTAATCCGGACTATTATCCACTAGCCTCATACAGATCAGGCGATTTTACACCACGCCGAGCTGTTGACTCAAATGGAAAAGTCGGTTGGTTGTACGATGCTTCTACCGATCAAGTACTTTCTGACTCGGAAATAAAGTTCAATATAAAGTGGCTTCTGTGTCGTGCACTTCCAAGTTGCTTTATGGACAAATACAATCCAGGTGAACCTGACAATCTTCTAAAGTGGAGCAATATGCATCACGGACTACGGTTGAGTGTTACCTTGAACATGGTTCCAACAAACGGAATGGGTGCATTAATTAATTATTCTAATCCGATCGATAAATATACCCGACGTATTATCTATACTCATTATAGCCGTACAGAGTATTTAGAGGACAAGATATTCAGTTCATGGAAGAAAATCGACTCACAAAGGCCGAATTCCTCTGCTACTCATATTATTGTATTCGTTAATTGGGGAATTGATGCAAGCGTTCTTTTACAGCTACCACCAGATGGTGAAGTCACTCGAAAAATTGATCATGTGCTAGAAAAAATATGTGAATCTTTGAAGAATCAACAGAATAGCCTAACATTCTCTGAAGAAGACAACAAGTTCCTCAACAAAATTCGTCATACAGAAGTCTTTTCAAACATACAGCAACTCACTAATATCAATTCGATTCTTCAATTTTATCGTACGATTCCATCAATGCACCGAGATACCAGTCTTCACAAAGCATATAATTATAATCTTTATCCGATTGATTATTTTTATGCCCAAAACAATGAATCCCGAGCTAAATTTATTCCATTGCGAGATGACACCGTCCTTCTTATTGAAACATATCTCGTTCGACTATCATTGGACTTTAAGCGAATAAGAAAAGCAACAAATCAAAATTATCCCAATCTAAAGCATTATCTTAGAAGGGAATTCGATAAGATGCAAGAATATTGGAGAGAATTTGAGACAGCATATGGCAATCAGATTCATCGACTTCGAGGCTTAGTCATTCGTGCTCGACTCGGTGACATTGATGAAGGTTGTATTCCTAATGAATTCAACGATGATCAAAACGAAAATCTGACAAAAATGATAAAGGATTGTACTGTAAATCTCGAATCGTGTGCTGAAAAAGAGCAACTCATTAAAGAGTTGCTAGATAAAGGAGTTAAGTATCAAAATGCACTCGATAGAAACATACAAAATGGCGATAATGAGCAAGCTCTTAAACGTAAGCTTTCGATTTCTGATGACCAAAAACATTTCATCTTCTCGAATGATGATTTATATAAAAATCGACAATCGAGTTTGTGTACTCTTCGCGATCAGTTACTACAAGAGCATGGAAAAGAACCTCGGTTACAATTAATCTATGTTGATTTCACATACTGTTCATACAAACTTGATGATGTAAGGCTTTTTCCCACAATCGGAAGAGAAAATTTTCAAAGTACTTCAAAAACAGCGACATCATCATCGCAAGCACAATCAAGAAATGATGAAATTATGAATGTTTTACTTCTAGGAGAAACAGGTGTTGGTAAATCGACTTTTATCAATGCTTTTGTTAACTATTTAAAATTTAATGAACTTGACGAAGCGAAAAAGGATCCTGTTGTACTTATACCTGTTTCATTTACGCTGACAACTGGTGATAATTTTAAGGAAGAACAGATTAAATTCGAAGGAGAAGGTGACTTATATATTGAAAATTTCGAAAATGTTGGTGAATCAGTGACACAACATTGTAAATCATATATATTTACTGTAAAGGATGGCGAAAATCGTGCTCGTAAATTGCGAATCGTAGACACTCCCGGTATTGGTGATACACGTGGTCTCACTCAAGATGAAGCAAATCTTCAACATATTTTAACATTTATTAATAGTTTGTCTTATTTGAATGCTGTTTGTATTTTATTAAAACCAAATAATGCACGACTTACTGGATTTTTTCGATCATGTTTTCTACAATTGATCGATATGTTGAGTGAAAATATTTGCGATAAAATTATATTTTGTTTCACTAATTCACGTCCGGCATTTTACACACCAGGCAATACAGCTGCACCACTTAGAGCTCTACTTGAATCACTACCAAGCAAAAATATTCCTTTTCGAAGAGAGAATACATTTTGTTTCGATAGTGAATCGTTTCGTTGCTTAGTGGCTATACGTCAAGGCATCAATTTTAGTGCTGTTGAAGAACAGGAGTACAATGAAAGTTGGATAAGATCATCAAAAGAATCTCAACGTCTTATAGCATATATTTTTACGAGAATATCGACAGATATCAATGCTAATAAGTTACAATCGATGATACAAGCGCAACTCAAAATCAATTTATTAATCCGACCTATGTTAGAAACAATGCGGAATATTCTTCGTAATATTATTTTATGGGACGAAGATTCACAAAAGACTTTTATTGAACTGCAGCCAATATCTATTAAAACTCCAACAGCCATTTATTTGAAATGTCCTTGTGGCTTTGTCCAAATAGGTGGATTCTGGTGTAAACTTGATAGTTTACATATGGTCACTAATAATAAATGCAAAACTTGTGATTGTGATGCATCTGACCATTGTCTTGTTGATTATGATTTACAATGTAAGATATCCCATGATTTATCAAACACATTGAAGAAAGACTTGGAAGAGATGCTCAATAACTTGTGTGAGAAAAGTGCTGAATTCCGTCACTTTCTATTAGGATCTAGCTGTAACCCAGAAACTGATGAATTCTTGGATGGTTTGGATAGAATGATTAAAGAAGAAGAAGAAGCCTGTAATAAGAATAGTCCGCACGAGCTGAACATGAAGTTGATACAGGCACTTCAAGAATTAAAAGAGAAATATAAAAATCAAAAGAAAGAAATGGCTCGAAGAAAGCAATCCATTGAGCTAACAGATATTTATCAGAAAATTACAAGTGTGAGCGAATTTAAAATGATAGCATCACAAATAAGTGCTATTCATGAATGGCACAAGGAAATGGTTAAATATTATCAACATGAAGTTTCAACTTGATTGACACAGTGAATTCTAAACAAAATTTCAAACAAACTGATTGCTTAATTATTTAGTTAAGATAACTCTTCGTACTTTTGTTTATATAACTGATTATAGTATCGAATAAATTCGCTTTCCTCCAAACTAGATTTAAACAATGTGTTGATAAAAGAAAAAAAATTATGTCAATATGTATTAATAAGTGAGTGATTTTTAAAATAAAAGTACTGGCGTGTAATATATGTAAAACTATTTAAAAGGAAATATAGTTTACTTTAAGGGTGTAAGTGTGAGTGTTGTTAAAAGAACATTATAACACCCACACCCACACTCTTGTACATAGAAATGAAAATCTTCGAATCGAATAAATTACCAACAAACGTTCACTTCGATTGTTTAAGAGTGAGGTTAGTACTTAGCATACTCTTTGCTGCATAGGTGCGTCCAATACAAAAAGAATGTCAATTATTAATTCTATTAGTTGATAATGGCTCGTAACTGAGAAAAATTCCAGAGTTAAATAAGAATAAATGAAAGATTGAATTGCTCACAATGAAACAGCATCACGATTTAGATTTAAAATGCTCAATCTAATTGTGAATCAAAAAGTTGATTTTAATCATTTGGTAGCGCACTATTATTGTTAGATTAAAGACCGATACAGAAGTTTCGAGATAAGGAAAGAAACATAATATAGTAAGAATATACTTCAGTAAACTTAATAAGTATTGTATATGGACTTTTCTAGAAAAAGATCTATTTGCTTCTACTCAGGATTTTTCAGAATGATTCTGACTTATGCTGGTGACATGTGAATTTATTTTTTAAAGACCTGCTGTCTGTAATGCGCTATTCAGATCTCTTTTATATTAATATTCACTCATAAATTACCCAACTTGTCAAAACAAAAATCAAGTTTAAAGAAAAATTCTTATCTAAACTCAGTTCTCATCGTCCTTCATTTCAACTCACACTCACTGACAAACATATCTGTCCCTACACCACCATCACCTATAACCTTGGTTACAATAGTATTATTCTGCATCTTCAAGGTTACTTTTCAATGTCAATAAAAAAAGCCTTGAGTCAACAGTGTATGTTCACAGGAAAAATGGTTCGATAAAAATATAAACTTCTTTGATGTGATGTCTTCTACAAAGTGGAAAAGCATAGCGATTTGAATATTTTACATAATCAAATTTGATATGTTCAATGAGCTTTTATTAAGTTAGTCTCTACATCAACGTCAAATTTAGAATTTTGGTTTTGATTCAGAAAAAAAATCTCAGATTTGAACCTATCATCTTGTTCTTTTATCTAATTTTAATGAATAAAATATTTCAAAACTATATTTTAAGACCTTGTTAACACGTTATCTTTCTTATCTTCTATTTATTTTTACTATTCGCAGATCTCTGTGTAATCTTAATGGCATACAAGATGCAAGAAAGGCTTCTTTTTAAAATAATGGAATTTATTACTATAGGCATGAATATTGGCTTAACTAATAGTTTGATTTGTTGAAGTAAATGAAATTGAATATCGTAAAATCCCTTTAAATAATTATTTAACACATGAAAGGGTGTGGGTGTGGGTGTGGGGTGTGGATGTGGGTGTGGGTGTGTGTGGGTGTGGGTGTGGGTGTGGGTGTGGGTGGGTGTGGGTGTGTGGGTGTGGGTGTGGGTGTGGGTGTGGGTGTGGGTGTGGATGTGGGTGTGCGTGTAGATGCAAGAAAGATTCACAGAGATACGTACACGAGTACCCCCACCCACATACCCACACCCACACCCAGAACTAATGATGACCGCAGAAAAATTGAAATGAAGAAGATAAGCGAATTACAGAAGCAGAGTAACGATTGAAGACGAAAAAAGAGCCTCTAGAGGATCGAAGATCACTGCATGTATTCGAATTAAATAAACAGAGAGAAGCGCATTCGGTTCCAGCTATTCTAGTTTCTAGTAGTTATTATGAAAATATTCTGCAATCCGTCAATCTGGGGTCAAGTGAATCAGCACCCAATGAACGTTACTTGTTCTCTCCTGGCTCTCTCATGAAATTGGAGTTGTGAGTGAAGGAAATCAGGAACTTGAAATATGTAGCAAGAAATTTATCGTTGAGTTGTTTGTGTATCGTAGTATTGTATTTTTTATTCCGTTACAAAAAAGAGATATTGAAAATGTATACCATGTGCTCATATATTAGGTAACAAAGTAACTGTGTCAAGACAAGCAGAATAAGCATGCATTTTTAATAATGATGTGAATGTCTGATAGATATTTAACTAGTGACAAAAGCTATATAGGACTGTCTTGTCCTCTAAAAATCTTTTATTCGCTCACTGATAAAAAGAAGAAAAAATTGATAAGAGCAAGATAATGAAAAATAAGAAAAAGAAATGGAGCAGAATAATTAATTTAATGCGATGGTAATAAAGGAAAAATATGGCAGGTTGTCCGCTCGGTTTGGTTTCTATGGATCTGTACTTTGTTGGGAAAAGAAATCAAAACCCACAGAATAATAAATAGAGAAACTTCAAATCGATGAGAAAAGCATCGACATTAGATGAAAATCATTGGAAGTAAAGCGATTATAGTAATGAGCAAGAATGGTGCAGATTACTGATATCCAACGCGAGTACGCGCTTTTAATACCGGCATTGAACTACTGCCAGTCGAGGAACTGGCTGATGATGATGAACTATCAGTACTAGTTGGAAATACAATAATCGTAGCGCCCATTCCAGGATGATAATTGCACCCATAATAATAGGTGCCTGCAGTAGTGAAATTAAAAGAAGTACTATCACCCTCTACAGTAATTGGAGTATTGAGTAGATTAGTACCATTGGCTCCAGCGCAAAATTTGGGTAATTGACTGTTTCGGCAGATTGATAACGGGTGAATTGGAACATTTGTTGCCAAATTAAATACTAATTTATCACCAACGCTTAAATATAGCTTTGGGCTGATGATACCATTCACAGCGAAAGTGTGATTGAAGCGGGATGGATTTCCTTGAGGACAACTTGAATTCAAAACACATGGAACAAAAGTGGCAGTATACATTACAACATCGGCCGAAACACTAAAGAACGCTACAACAGCCAATACAGCCAATAATAAGCCTGACATATTACCCATGTGTGGTAGATACGTAGCTAGTAGTCAGTGTGGAGAACGAGAGAAATGTTTAGGATGGCGTTATCTGCAGAGTACAAGTGAGTATATATATATACTCGCTTTGAGAAAAAGCTTATCAGCAAACTCCTATGTGGTTACAATGCAAAACTCACACGTTGAATATGCTTTATCACACTGTTGCTGACGAACATGATGCAGCATTTAATATATCTTACGTGCACGTACATAGAAAATAGAAACTGCCTATCAGCGCCGCCCTGCATGGAGCAAAAATGTGAAGCTCACATTAACTATCAGGTTCTATATTAAAGGAAAAACAGTGAATGAGCACAGAAGAATCTCTGTAAATCAAGAACACCTCAAGTGGAAGGTTGTCTCTATCTATAATGTGATTACGAGATCTCTTGCAATTTTCTCATCTTCTCGGTATTTTTCGCTCTTATTCAATAGTTACTATGCTGTTACAATTCATCACTCTTCATTTCATTTCTTTCTTTTAGGTCATAATTTACTTCAATTTCGCCGCTGTGAGCATCGCAACCAGCGGTCGTACGCTCCAGTGCTCTCTCTCAAACCAAAACAACATTTACTGTCGCTTCCCGTCAGCACTCGATCATTATTACTCAATGTTGCTTACTTCAATATTTCTTGCTGTGCCTCAGAACCTACATAATGATATGCTGCTACTCATAATGTCGAAATCTTTTCCTGCATTTATCGTACCCATTGAGAAGCTTCGTTTATAGACATCATGTTCTTTCGAAAGGCTTTAGAACGTTCTGAAAGGATCCTTCTGTTAACATTTCCTTCCTTTTCTATGACGAGACCGAACCTGGAAGGTTGCATTCAATCTTATACTCACTGTTCTATAGTGACCAGAAAAATGATGAAAATACAGCGAAGAAAAACACTATCATAAAATTATGAATTCGCCGTCAATCGCAACCGCACATTTTTCGAACAGGGGTGATTCCGTGGGAATCCTACCTAGTGTTCGGCGTGACCAAGATTTTTTGTCACCTGCCATGACTATGTCCGTGACCGTGAATCACGGTCATTGTTTCTGTTTTTTTTCTCGAAACGTGCGACCTCTTTTCTTAAATAATGTGTACTAATACTGCGACGGAGGTTAAATATGTCGATTCAATTGGTAAAATAACAAAAATCTATTGTTGTGAGGTGAAAAAGAAAAGATGAACTTTTAACATTAAACAACAATATTTACCTTTTCGAATGAATAATGGGTAGTTCAGCCCGAACTCAAAAAACCTTATCGAAAGAAAATTTGATTCAATTGATTTCTAACAAAGATATTTCGATTACGTTCTCGAAGCAAAACGAAAAAAAAGTGGGGTGTGTGGGCGTGGGTGTGTGTGGGTGGGTGTAGATGTGGGTGTGGGTGTGGGTGAAGAGAGAACCTGCACTCACACCGACACCCACACCCACACCCACACCCTTTCGGATCCTGTTCGATTCTCGGTTTCAATTTTTTTGGAGCGGCAGGGCTCTGCATATGGGTGTCTGTATAAGTATGAATTTTTTCTTTATCCATTTCCACACTCAAACGTACATCCATATTTTAAGTAAAATTTTGATTAAAATTTTAATTCTGATCTGCAAATCAATGTAAGATCCAAAATGATTTGTTACTGGATTTTGACAAAGTAGAAATATTTTATTTATACGTAGCTGATTGATGAATGACAATGAAAAGAAAAAAATGGCTTAACAAAATTTCTAGAAGTTTTTTATTCAATCATCAATACTATATCCAGCAATCTCATTTTTAATAAGATGATCATGATATATAAATCGACTACATTGTGATCCTTTGAGAAGATGTTTGGTTCTGGCTACATACATTTACGTGAAAGAAATCCAACGACAATAACAGTAGTAGTAACCCAGGTTGAAAAAGCCCTATCGTAAACTACCGTACACAAAAGGAATACGACGACTTACGATGGCCGTGTACGATTGACGTATACAAACATCATGTACGATGCAATACGGTACCTTACGATAGTCGTAAGCGACCATTCCAAACGATCATCGTAAACGACGTTCGTATGCGATCATATATTTGTCGTGTTCAACGCTAAGTAACTTTCTTTGTATAAAAGAATTCTTTTAAATAATTATATCAGTTACGGTCGTGCAATGAACAGTACATATTATTTTAAACTAAACAATCTGTTTTTCTTTTTTTGTAAATTATATCAACAGCAGAACGAACAGCAACTATTAATTTATTCAAAGTCACACCCCCTCAAAAAAGTCACTTTTCGCCAGAATGAGCGAAATTAAGATAAATGTAGGGGAAGGTAGTCCGTGATCTGATCTCTCACTAACGACAAAAAGTTTTACTCGACATCTCGTGGGTGTGGGTGTGGATGTCGATGTCGGTGAGTGTGGATATGGGTGAAACGAAGATCCAAACTCACACCCACCCACACCCACGCCCACACCCGGGCAAAAGATTGTTAATATTCATGGATGGGTTATGTTTTGGTACAATTTATAGGGGGACATATTGTAATAATTATATGATTTATATTTCCGATCAGTTCGTTAATCGTCGGCATATGTTGGCTATACTAAAGATGAGTAATTGGAATGCACTCTAAACACATCGTTTCCTGGGAAACTCACTAAAAAAGGTTTTCGAGTTTTTTCATTCCCAAAAGAGTTTTCGGGCTGATCTCGGAAACCCTGAGAGTTTCCGACTTTGCCACTATATGAAACTCTTTAAAGATTTCCAAAGCTTGAAACCCTTTGTTAGTAGGTTTAACATAAACCGATTTTTTTTACAGTGCACTTTATGTACAACAGATAGACGTTCATAATATGTCATTAGGGTATGGATATCGACATGGATGAGAGGAAGATTCAGGCGGTCAATTACACACTGATTTATATATCTAATGATAATCCAAACACACCGTATGAACATACTTACACCATTACCATCACTCTTTCTTTCTGTTTCGATGTAGTTCAGAAGAATGTTGAAACATAATATATTTGAATTATTTTGACTACTACGAGAATTTATACTAATTAGTGCGATAACCTCAAATTAGGGTGGAAATGATGGTGCGATTTTTCTTTGAGCATTCATCTTTATTCCCACCTCATGAGTCAATATTGCTGGTACAACGATGACATCATCATGCAACATCTTCGAAGCCCTTTACCGTAGAGAAATTGTTTAAATAACCAATAAACTTTATATACATCTATCGCATTTTTCTCCTGTAAATTTAGAGGTTGATTAAGGAAAGAATAAGTTCGGAAAAATGATATATGGCAAATATTGATAGCTTTGTGCCGTATATGTCATATAAAGACTTATTCGATATTTTGTAAAATTATTTTAAAGAAAGAAAAGCTATACAGCATGTTGTAATGAATTTTTCAAAAGTCACAGAATACTATGGATGTAAAATCAGTTAATTAGACCCATACAACACTAGTTTTCTTGAACTTCATTTACTAACCATGTTCTTTACGACACTATTCTATTGAAATTCGAACTCAACCATTTTTATTTGAAGTACTTTAATTTCTTGAATATTCTGATGTGCGTGTGGGTCTGAGATTGCAGAAAAAGAGCACATACCCACATCAACCCCAAAAATCATTTTCATCGATATTTACAAATAGATATCAACTCACAAATTACTGTTTCGTGCTACACTGCCTTAAGTAAAGTATGGCAACGAAAAAACAATACAAAACTTCAAATGAAATACATAGAAAAGGCACCTGAAATTTTACAAAACCAAAACGCAACTACGAAAGACACAAATGCTCTTGAAGAATTAACTAGATTAATCAACAATACTATATTAAACGAAGACGAAAATTGTGATATTCATAATAAAAAAGCTTACATAAATATTGCCAATAAACGTGATGATTTAGCTATTATAAATTATACAAAAGTATTAACTATTCAAAAGAGACAATTGTCAGAAAATCATCCAGATATTGGTCGTACACTCTTCAACATGGGGTCACTGTTATGCAACATTAAAACAGTATGAACAAGGAGAAATATTGATGAGGCAAGAGACATTACAGATACGTCGTAAATTACTGTTTGGGAATCTTCGTGGCCTTGCGCTGAGATACAGTCGTCTGGATTCAGTCTATGTTATTATGATGAAAAGTAAATCAGCTTTTGAATATTTTTTCAATGCACATGATATACATCGTGCATCTGGTAAACCTGATGCACTTGATCTTTGGATTATTGAAACAGCTATTAGACAGCTACAAGCTAGCGGTTCAGCATTTCATCGGAGTCATTAAAGTAATTTAATGAATAGATGACTGAAATATCGACTATTCTCTTTTTTTCTGTAACCGTTTTGGTATTTACGCATATTAGCTAAAATCTTATTTTTTGTGGTGTTTGGTACCTGAACAACCATTAAAATTAACTTACTTCTCCTTCCGTGCACTAACAAAAAGATCACTGTATCTTTTAATGCTAACCAAAAGAATAATAAAATCTTTTTAATAAAGACGTCAAGAGTCGTAAAAAAAGTTAAACACCGCCCATAAACTATTTATCACCTCGGGAAAACAAATTTTATGAGTAAAATAAACATGTTTTTTCAAGGATATTTTTATTATTTCCATTTATATTTAAGTTTTTCTGGAAGAAGTCTGCGCGCTTTTTACTTTCATTGATCAACTAATCGGCTTTTAAGGACATAACATACTGGAGTAAAAAAAAGAAGCAATATTACTGATATTTTGCTTATAATTTCGTCAATCTTTGGCCGCTATAGTCGATAAGCATTTTACCTAAAACAAAAGTTAAAACTGTAGAAATATATCAAATCCAATTTTTTAGAAATAGATTAATAAAAAAACACTTCGACTGCTCAACTGAGTTAGCAATGATTCCGAATATTATATTGGAATTTCGAAGTGAGGCTTTAATCTTCAAAATTGAACTTCAAGCTTTATTTCAATTTCTTGCACTAGTGCTTGGCTGTGTTCTAGAGAAGAGAAATACCTGCAATCGCACGCTCGATGAAACTGTTTCGATTAGATAATAAGTATTGACATTAAACATATATTTTATTTGAGTCTTAGTCTATTCTTTTGTGCGTTGATCGTGAGTGTTCATCAGAAACATTGCGCTGAGCTTATAGAGTTAATCGCGAGTGTTTGACAATTGTTTTGACTTCTATTCGAATCGTGCGGTTCCAACTCGATTTGGTCTATAATGTTGACTCGCTCCATAATTTGGATAAACTACTGCTGAATCTCTAACGGCAACTTTGACTCCAGATATAGATCCGTACAAAGCTGTTGATCTCTCGCCAACATATTGGGCACAATCTTAATGAGAGTTCACAAGCTACGCACGTAGCGAAACGACCGCATGGAATATAGGCAACACATTATTCTGCCGATCAGTAAAGTACACAATGGTTCGATGTTGATGTGATATTCCTTTTCGTGTCTTCTGTTGTATTATTCAATGACTCCGATGTTATTGATTTATTAGTAGGTGATTGACAGGATGTAAATTTTTCGACATTGGTACTTATTGATGTATTAGTACAAAACTCCTGAGATGGTAGTGTTGTAGGTGAAGAAAATGCATTAGTTTGTTCACGTGCTAAAATTTCTGAAACAGAAATATATACAATGTCAATTGATCAAACTCGATTCAATGCATATCTGCTCACTCTTTTCGGTTTGATGACAAATCTTCTTCATTTCAACACTCTCAATAATAATGTTTTCTTTCTTTTCATCGATATGATCTATCTGTTTTTGCAGTATAGTACAGGCGAAATCATCGTCTAAACAAGGAAAGACAAAACTATAAGAAAACTAAGGAAACAAAACATGAGCTCGAGTGCTATTTCAGTTGTCTGTTTCTTCTGTTGTGAAATCGAATCTTTGATTTGAGTTTGAAACTTTTGTAATGAAACGCTTTCAAACATGACATTGTTTTTATCTCAGAGAGTCCGACTGAAACGAAAATGAAAGCCAATCAATAGGGCAATCGAAAACTATAGTTACAAAATCAAGCGAAATCGCTTTGCCCTAGTGTAGAACTGAAGAGTTTTCTTTTTACTGAATTGACTTGACGCTTTTCTCGACTGAAATTACAGATGATAAGGAAACAAATCAGGATGAATAGATAGTTTCCAAGATTCAATTGTTTAGAGTGTATCGCGATATCAATGATTTGATTTGTTTCAAAAACCATAAATTGATGCAAAGCAATATAATTAGAGTTTCTCTTTTATATTTAGGATATAAGAGTCATCTTGAACGTGATGATATAGGCAATGGTAATCATCATGCAAGTAACGTTTAGTGGCATCACTACTGTAAAGATGATATTGAATTCATGAAGTAGAGAATACGAGTGAACAAACAAAAATAAGTGCAAACCGATGCTCATGTCTAACTATTCTGATGCTGAAACATGCTTTTCCATAAATTTAGTAGGTTTATTTTGACAATTGAAATTCACACACAAATATATACATAACATTATACGAATATCGCGTGTCAATCATTTTAATACGTAGAATTTGGTTTTGGAAAGATCATTTTTATTAATTCTACTTGAAACTTTAAAAGTGTTTGCTGAATTATGAGGCAGCGTGATAGAAACTAACATTTATTCTGTGATGATATTGAAAGTAGAATTTATTGTCTGACTAAGTTCAAAAGAAATGATTTTTATAGGTATTTCAAAATATTATTTCAAGAATTAAAATCTATTCTTTAAGTTATTAAAGGTTGAGACCATGTTTCGTTCTATCTTTTAGTTTTTGGCACTTGACAAAGAGCATTATTTTTTCATTAGAATCTTTTTCAGAACTTAACGTCAAATGAAGTTCTAAAATTAATCTTATATTTGCTAAAGGTTTCTACAAAAATCTAAGACTTGTAAGATCTTTCGAAATCATATTCGAGTTCGTATTGGTGTTCTATGGACACGAAATTCTCCATTCATCAACTTTCTCTTTTTATATTTGCATTGTGTGTTGAGTGATGTTGACATACATAACTTCTTATTTGAACATCGATATATGAACACATTGCTATTTCTCAGTACAATTGAGATTGAAGATCAAAACGAGGATTAATAATCTTCTTGTCAGTAATTTAGATTTCATTCTATATTTCGTGTCTCTTACATGACATGTTTTTAACACAGAAAGTAACATCATCATATTATTATGCATTTTGAGACCCTTCTTACATGACGTACTACTTTGTTTTTAAATTTAGAGGCAACGTTAAGATAAATTAAAGAATTGCATCGAATTTTACATATGACAGTGTACTATCCAATCATTTTTTTGTAGTAAAAAGTGTCAGAAATGGTATGGGCCATGGTTTTTCAGAACATACTGATAAAAGTTCTGAATTTTTTGATTTTTATTAGAATGAAATCGACTAAAATCAAATTTAAAAGGACATTCTTATTCGTCTATATACATATATGTTTGAAACAAAGTCAAATTCAAATAAAATGCAAACATGATATTTGTAATTAGCACATCAAAACTGAATATAGATGAGACGAATATCCTGAGAGCATCATAAACACTATATAGTTCATAGTGAATAGGGCACAGTTATGGAATTGAAGATATTTCTATGATACCTCGTAACATCTTTGAAATAAATACAAATGATAAAAGCGTAAGTGACAAGTGTTATCCTTCCAACACATTCTTTCAATAAGCTAGAATATAAAGTACAATACGTATATGATGCTTTGACACTAGCTTTTGTAGTGTGTAGCCGTGGCCAGGACTTTACTGTTGCCCCACACTCATACTCATACTCTCAGATATGTAAAGTGTAAGGTTTTTCCGGGAACTTTCAATCAGTCTACATCATCTATCTGCACTGGAATCCTATTCTACTGTGCGGTAGTCTTACTCGTTTTATCTCCTCCATAGATAGAGGCGAACTCAGAATATCCACAGGTTACTAAGCTTAGTCACAAAGTCATTTATTTTTAATATTGGCTCAATAAAAATTCTGTGGCCTTACAAAATATATACATGTTCTTTGCCGTATGCAACTGAAGCTCGTAATTTTTCAAATAATATTAGATTCTTACGAACTATCACCAAACGTCAGACGATTGAATATTGTTTGCATTCACAAAAACCAAATCCATTAACATGTTCTATGTAAAAACAAAGCATTGTTAAACCGTGACCTGATAGTGTTTTATTACGAATCTACATCTGAATTGAATCACAGATACTTAAATAATTCTAGTTGAGATTAATTCTCGTTTTAAACACAAGACAAGTAGCGCGAGATGAAGTCTGTGGCCTGACAAACATTGTATCCTACATATTTACCGAGGATACATCCGACTTAAGATCGACTATAAATGAAAATTTCAAAAACAATTAAGACCATAGTGAGGAGAAAAATAAAAAAGATCATATTGTAAATATAAAAACGCATTAGATGATCCTATAACTACAACAGAAAGCAAAAACAACGGATTTCTTTTTATTATAAACTATTATCAGACAAGGACTATCACATTGCTGCGCTCAAATTAGAGAAAAAATTTAACTGGATTTTATGATGCCAATAGAACTTAACTGCGACAACAAATTTTTTAAAAACACTTTTTAAACTACAATGATCAATCGGGTGGATTCGCTTTATAACTGCTGTAGAAAGACAGAAAATGGTTTCTGTTAAATGATATAGTACAATTCAAAGTGTTGTGCTGATACTGTGGCGTAAAACGAGAAAAAAATCATTTCAACTTGGCATACGATTCCAATACAATAGTTAAAAAAACAATTTATTTCGAATATAAAGTATATTGTAGAGAGGGCTGTTTTAACTGCTGTATGCAAGAGAAAAAGTAATTTATTTCAGATGTAAATAATAATTTTGATAGACTTCTGTGATAACTATGAGAAAACAGTAGAAAACAATTTTCTTTTCAACAATAATATATAATTTGACAAAAATGTTCTTCAACCAAGGCGAAAAGTTAAAAGGAACAGATTGTTTTTTTTTACAATGATTATTCGAATAGGGATATCCTAGAATTTCAGAAGAAGAAGAGAAGAATATATTAGAATTATGAGTGATAATTTAAATATGGCTATCTACGACCCAAGGTAGAAAAGTTGCAAAAAATTTAATTTCACATAGGATGTAGGTGATTGTAGCTGTCTATCGTGAGTTTTTGACTGAAAAGATCCACAACAACACTCAATCTCATTCATACATTTGAAATTAGTATGGATTGAACTACACAAGTGACAAATTGTTGA